TATATACACTGAGAATCAACTTATTCAAAGTATTACACAAACATTAAAATGTTAGCTTGAATAGTAAGCTATCTAACCGACCCATAAGAGAGAAGTAAGTAAGACGTTTTGAACTAATGTTAACTGTTAGCTAGCAAATTTGCTATTACAAGCTAACGTATTTGGAACTAAATAAAATAAATATCAACAATAATTAGGGACTCTCCTAATTTCAGGGAACTTTTCAAAATTGAAAAAGTTCAGTGCATAATCAGCCAAAGTCTGCATATTCATGCGGTGGCCGCATTTTTTTCAAATACGCCGCACTTTCACCGCATAAATTGCCAATTTCCGCGCAAAATATGCGGGGCTTGCATGATTTCATAATCCATGCATTTTCGTTGCAAAAAAGTCACATATATCTTAGCAGAAAGTTGAAAAATGTTGCGTTTACTTCACACAAGAGCAGCCATTTTCCCCTGTTGCCATGGGAACGTTATGAAGTGACGTAATTACGCAACATGAACATGATCGAAAAGATGCAAACCCCGCGATTAAGCCATGATAAAGCCCTTTTATTTATTAATTTTTACAGAAGTTGTAGCATATTCCTTTTGTAAAGCTACAGAACTTGTTTGACTCATAAAAAAAAACGCAGTTTTTGCAAGTTCCCGCAATTTTTGCAAGTTCCCGCAATTTTGGCAAGTTCCCGCAATTTCATTGCATAAAATTATCCCGCATATTCCATCGCATTTTTTAAGAAAACAAGCCGCATAATAAAGGATTTTTGCCTACAATTACATGAACAATATTATAAAAGTCACACTTACTTCCATTATTTATGACACCAAAGCCTCAGTCAGAAGGAGACAGGAGACCGAACAGGAAGCATCACGGTGACGGTGGGGTTAAACGTTTAGTGGGCGGGGTTAAACGTTTAACACCGCCCACATTGAGGTCTGCGGGCCTGCAGTCAGGGCCTTCTCGTTTGAGCAGAGAGTCAGTAGGAAACTACACTCTGTTAACGTCATATTGTTGTTGGGTTTTTTTTGGGGGGGGGGGTTGTACAAGAATGTACATTTGATGATATATGAATCATCATCACTCACACATGGAAAAAAATAATTAATTACTTTTTCCTTTTTTAAGTTAATTGCTCTTGGGGGTCCCCTAGTGGTCACGGGGCCCTAAGCAGCTGCTTAGTACGGATGCTCTAACACGTATGCTACCATGCACCCCTCTTGGACCACTTTTGATAGGTACTAACCATTGCAGACCGGGAACACCCCTCAAGAGTTAGTTTTGGAGATGCTCTGATCCAGTCATCTAGCCATCACAATTTGGCCCTAGCCAAAGTTGCTCTAATCTTTAAACTTGCCCATTTTTCCTGCTTCTATCACATCAGCTTTGAGGACAAAAAGTTCACCTGCTGCCTGATATAGCGCACCCTCTGACAGGTGCTATGATAATGAGATAAATTATCTCAAGTTAGACAAGTTAAGTGAATAACACTCATTATCTCAGATAATGGGTAGTCTTAATGTTACGGCTGATCGGTGTACACTACTGACACTTTTTTTAGGAATTAGCACAAGGTCACAAAAATGATTGTACTTTACACTACAACTTGACTACACTACAATAATGGGACATTGTGCATCTAAGGGATTGTACCTTTCTCTTCACCCCTAAAACACTTTTTGAAATAAAATGATATAATATTTTACTAGAATAATAAGTAATTGCCCAATCACGTGAGTGCTTGATGGGTAATTGTATGAAACTTTCTTAGTGCGCCTTCAGTTCTCCCATCACCACTCAGTGATCAGTCTTCATATGAAACACATTATCTTGCACCACCGCAGGCGCGGAGCCAATTGTTCATTGCAGAGGGGGCCTGGACCTGTAGTGGGCCTTTATACAACATATATGCTGAGAAGCCTGTACAAAGACAAATGTTGAATGTCATAATGAGGTGTGTTATTTACCCCCATGGACAGTGCCATGGATTTATTATTTAACCGAGACCTGCTGATATTTAAGCATCAAAACTGCTGATAGGCTATTTGAGAGCATTTGACATTAAATGTTTTATAATAATAATAATAATAATAATTTTTTTCTTCTTACACCTTTATTGTTAGGAAAAACAGCAAGATAAAAACAGATACAGCAGACAGGCTGCTAGCTTTTAAAACTCCTGGTGTTGCACATGTTCGCATCCGAAACAACTCAGAGTGGCTGACGAGGGCTCTATTAAGGGGATACTTAGGGGGATGGAATCAGGGACAGTACAAATAGGCCACAGTGGGGGGCACTGCTGGTGTCAGGTACTGACACTGGCTGGTGTTTTTTTTTTTTTGCCACAATCAACACTCACAATCAAACTTTATCCACAATATTAAACTAAACAACAAAAATGCATTTTTAGTCAGGCAGATTGGGCTAAAGGTTGTCGGCTTTGTAACTGTGGAGAACTGCTCACTCTGCTACACCATCACCAAATTGGTAACTGTAGATGTTGTGAGTCAGTGAGCTTTGAACCAGGGATGGGGAGTAACGGATTACCTGTAGGCTAACTGAGTTACGCAATTAGGATACAAACAAAAGGTTACTGTAATCTATTACAGTTAATATGTCTCTATATTCAATTCAATTCAATTTTATTTGTATAGCGCCAATTCATAACAGAAGTTATATCAGGATACTTTTCAAATAGAGCAGGTCTAGACCGAATTCTTTATAACATTATTTACAGAGACCCAACAGTACCACCATGAGCAAGCACTTGGCGACAAGGGCAAGGAAAAACTGCCTGTTAAAAGGCAGACACCTAGGACAGATCTTTCGGCTCTAGATGGGTGGTTGTCTGTCTCGACCAGTTGGGGTGAGAGAGGGAGAGAGAGAGAGAGATAGAGAGAAAGACAGAGAGACAGACAGACAGACAGACAGGTGCACAGCAACAACAGCATTGGCAATGGCAATCTAGCAGGACCATGGCAGGAGGCTCCACCAGGATCGATAAGAACCTGTGAGACAAGAAGGCACAAGAACTCTGGGGAAGAAGTGAAGTTAGTAACATGCATTAATGGGACATGAATGATTGCAGAAAGAGAGAGGAAGAGAGGAGCACCATGGGAAATCCCCCGATAGTCTAGGCCTATAGCAGCATAACTAAGGGATGGTTCAGGACTCACCTGATCCAGCCCTAACTATAAGCTTTATCAAAGAGGACTATAAGATTTAGACTAAGACTAACTGTAAGCTTTATCAAAGAGGACTGTCTTAAGCCTACTCTTGAATGTGGAGAGGGTGTCTATATATGTTTTCTAATTTGCTTTTTTCTTATATTATATAATATATAAAAGTCATCTTATTACAGACATTGACACATCTTTTGTGAGCGAGTTGGACGATTTCTCACCATACAAAATCTAAAAAAGATTGTGTCAAATAGAAGAAAGAAAGTTCAACATACTTCACACATATCAGGATGTGTGAACCTGAAATTTGAATCAGTGGATGAAATGAAGACAGCAGAAATAAATCAGTGCTGCAGGGAGCTGTTTGTTTATTGATGAAGTCTTTCTTTTCTAACCTACATCAAAGGCAAAGTGACACACTAGGTGAGTGTAAGGGTGTGTATGAGAAAGAAACAAAGAGAGATCGACTGAATATGCTTATGATGAATGTTTTATAGTGACAGCCATATCAGGTCATTAAATTAAGATCAAAGTGACATGGCACCCTATCATCAAGATCATAACCAGTAGAACTTTAAATACAGAGCTCTAGACACACCTGAGTATACATTAACACACATCTATTGGACTATTCTCTTGCACACTGAAAACATTCTTTACAGACTGTGCACATTCCTGCAACTGTTATACTGTCATAATGTACATATTTTCTATATGTCTGTATAACATTTTTTATGCCTCCACGCCACCAACAGCCGTGGAAGAAGGCATTATCTTTTTAGTTAGTCCGTCTATCAGTTCCATTCTCGTGAATACGATATCTCAGGAACACCTCGAGGTAATTTCTTCAAATTTGGCACAAAGTCCACTTGGACTCCAGAACTAGAACTGATTTGTCAAAGGTCTAGTTCACTGTGACCACTGTGATCAAAGTTTACAAACATTTTTTTGGCCTTAACTCCTAATTGATGACCATATTTCACAACCAGTCAGACAATTAATTATATATATACAATATATATACACGATTAGCCATAACATTATGACCACTGATAGGTGAAACGAATGAACACTAATTATCTCGTTATCATTGCACCTGTCAGTGGGTGGGATATATTAGGCAGCAAGTGAACATTTTGTAGTCAAAGTTCATGTGTTGGAAGCCGAAAAATGGGTAAGCGTAAGGATTTGAGCGACTTTGACAAGGGAAAAATTGCTAGACGACTGGGTCAGAGCATCTCCTGTTCCTAGTCTGCAGTGGTCACTACCTTTCAATAGTGGTCAAAGGTAGAAAAGCAGTGAATTGGCGACAGGGTCATGATCTTAAATGCACGTGGGGAGAACACACAGTGCATCACAGTTTGTTGCGTATGGGGCAGCATAATATTGTGACCACCAGGTTTCTACCATAGACATCTGTCTAGAAAATACTAATAATAAGATTTTTTCTGCTATGTTACCTTGTCATCATGGCATTTATATGCAGCGACTGACAGCTTACTACTTGCTACATTTTTGTTACTTTTTTCGGCTTTTTTTTGCTGAAAACATCTTTGAATGACGTCTCATTGGATTTGATTTTGAAGCCAAAATTATTCAAATTTACTAGATTTTTACTAGAATTTTCACTATGGCTAATGCTGCAGCCGGTTGCTCTTTCAAACTCGGTTTTTGTTTAATCTGTTTTCAGTTTTAATGCTAAAATACATATGACCTATGACAGAAATAGCCTACAGTCATCGGAAGGGAGCATGGGGTTTGAACTGAAGAACAGTACAAGTTGTTTTGAAGTAATACAAAGAAGACAGAATTTCAGAGTATGTTCTTAAATTTTAATAAACAAAAGAAAAATGGGAAAAATACTGTAGCAACTCTACAGGAGAAAACAATGACCATTCTAAAGAGTAAGGATAAAAAAGGTCAAAATTAGGGAAAGCCTTACAGATTACATGTTTTTTTCAATATGAAAGGAATGTATAATAGGTGGCTTGTATAGCCTTAAGGCAAATTTATAAAGCTAATATTTCAAATGCACTTTGATCTGCAAGAACCATAGTGGTTAGAATTATTGAAAAGGGTGGATTCTTGGCTGTTTGTTGCGACAGAATGAGCTGAAACAATGAAACACAAAAGCATTCAGTTTGTGTATGGATGCTACTGACACATCCAAAATTAACAAAATGATTTAGACCCAAAGCATAGATGAGCTGAGAAAACTGCCATTCTCAGTGTAGCTATGATGGAATGGATACCCAGATGCATTTATTCTATGGAAGGTTTGGTAGTGATGGCTCAGATATAGAGAATGCCTCACAGATAACATTTTTCACAAAATTTAAAATTGAAGGAATTTATAACACGACGGTCTAAAGAAAGATTTATAAAAATTATATTCCAAATGCACTTTGATATAGAAGCAGGTCTTTTTCTGTTTTTGTCATGGTTGAAGAAGCCTGGAGAAGATTCAAAAATGTGTGTATGTAAATCAGGCTATAAATCTATTGGTGTTGGGCCACTGTCCAACTGTCTGAGAAAAACTGGTTCTCACAGTGTTTGTTATATTTTTATTTGCTGAAGACTATACCCGGAGACTCTTCTGTACAGCCTTTTTTATTTCCCCTTGCCTTTTTTCTTCTTTCCTGAAAAAAGGACAAAAACACAGGCACAATATCACTCACACCATTCATTCACAAAATACTGGTCTCTCTTTGAAAAGGAATATGACATTCAGATAAGTGAGAGAGTGTCAGAAAATAATATGGCAGCTCAGATGGGCAGGAGCATAGACAATGAGTGGTAAATAGAAGAATATAACGGCACTCCAAGCAATAAAGATAAGAAGATTAAACTCTGTTTACAGGCTCTATAGGCAGAAATGTTACACCTCAATACACAATAGTGCTAGATAGAAAACACTAAGAGTTTGATATTCTTTAAAAGTTTGTCCTCAGGTCAGCCAGAGGTGTAGAGCAATTTGTTAAAGAGCCAGAGCACGCCAATGATGTGCATGCCTGTACGTACTGAATAGCGCCTACCACTCACAGCGATTTCCACTGTATGTTACTTTCACCCATTCACACACATTACATACACTGATGGAATTGGCATTAATAGCCTGGGGTTATTTGCTTCAATTATTGAACTCAAGCTGTCTTTATTTGGAACAGCTGTTTATATGGACAAGCCTTTAATTATTTTTGCAAAAAAAACTCTTGCTCAGCTATGGAGCCCCTAAAGGGACATGGGGGAAAAAATCTAGTGCGCACTAGATATGGATCCCGTGTTGTGGCGAATCAACACATGCTAATTTTAATATTCAAATGAGTATTAAACTAATTTGTCTGTAACTAAAAAATAAATGTAAATTAATCTGTAACCTTTTTTGTTACAGTCCGCATTTAAATGCCCTGTCCTGCAGCCGGACACTCGTTTGTCCTCCTTTTGAGAAAATAACAAAAACGGTCTGCCTTTTGACACATTACCTTGTTAGTTTAATACTTATTGGCTTAAAATGTGTGTCAAAATAAGTAATTTCATTGGTTACATTTTCGTGTGGTGACCTATCAACACATGGCTAATTTTAATATTCAAATGAGCCATGTGTTGATTGCCACAACAGGAGATGTATCTAGTGCACTAGATCGATATCTAGTGCTCACTAGATACGGATCTAGTGCGCACTAGAGACGTTTAATTTTTTTTTTTTTCCCATGTCCCTTTAGGGGCTCCGTACTCAGCAAAGCAAAATGTAAAGAACAACTGAATTTTGGAGAATCTAACTAATCTAACGATGTGTAGCATGTCCATATTAAGAAACCTTTATATTTGTAGGCGATCTAGGCTTAGAACTCACTTTAGTGCGCGACCTAGTGGGCTTTAACAAGTTTTATACATCCAAATAATTTCTATTACATCCAGACCAGTCTAATTGAGACCTGTCTTTATTTGTCAAAATATGCAGCCACACCAGGCTAGTAAAGGAGACCTGTGTCTGGGACCCTACCTTTTAAGTGTTATGGTAGGCCTGTAGTCAATTTCTCTTTCCATCCCACTCCTGTTGCCTATGCTCATACATAATTTCCTTGCTGTAATAACTAGCTGTTAATCGAGATATTAGCTGTTCTCATCAGCTGGTTGCATCTATTCAATAGCACAGTGACACACCTGCATTGTTAGCATATCATCTTGCTGCTGTCTTTTAAAATATGATTCTCTCTCTGCCTTCAGTTCATCCATACTGCTTTTATGCGCACCCCTCCTCTCCCTATCTAGTCAACTAGGAAAATCTTTAGTCGGGACAGCCCTACAGTCATCATTGGTGTGGTTGGCTAGTTTGACATGAAAAAAAGACCACTGGGGCAGTGATCAAGTATTCAGTGATGAAAAATCCACAATTGTGGAGATGGCTTAATTGAACTTAACAGTCTAACCTTTGGTTTTTGTCTTGGTTTTTCCAGGACAAGGTTTGGAGACAGAAATAGTCTGCTGACACTCCACATTATACAGAGCCCTCTTCAATGTCCCTGTTCTGGTCCGCGAGCCAGAGCTTGGATCACACTCTCCCCAACCACCAAACCGATACTTACAGTCAGCTAGAAGAAAGAGAGAGTGAGAGAGAGAGAGAGAGAGAGAGAGAGAGAGAGAGAGAGACAGGCAGACAGACAGACAGACAGAGACAGAGACAGACAGACAGAAGATATATGAGCACATACAATACAGCTTTCATACATTCAAATTCAATTCAAATTCAAAATGGGCTTTCTTGGCATGCATTCAAATACAATACAATAAATCAAAGATATATACATTATGAACATTATATTAGTTATATACAGTGTGTGTGTGTGTGTGTGTGTGTGTGTGTGTGTGTGTCTGGGTGTGCGGGTGCCTCGATCACTCACTGTCCCTCCGGTTGTGGCATGTTAATACATACCGGGCAGCAAGGTGTGCCCGCTTTCCTTCTCCGAGGAGTATTTTTGATTTGGAGAGGTCGTTCAGCTCTTTATTTTATTCATACCAAAGAGCTGAACTTGTTCAAATATTTTTTTCTTGTATTATTTAATTTTGTACATTGTACATTCACTCTGGATTAATTTGCTGTATACAGGATGGTCCAGTCTGTAGAGCAGTAATAGCAGACATGTCACAAATTTAAAACATGCATTCAAGGTTCAGCTTTGAAATCTTAATCTTATTCATAATTCATTGTGTTCTTTATAACAACCTGTCTGACCTTTCCACTGTAACATCTGGTTTCAACCATGGGGTTTCTCTTAATTATTATGTCAATCAAGTGCAGTTATACATGCCAGTCCAACCTAATCAATCAGAATTCACAGAAAATTGTCTGGTTTCAGGCCAGTTTCATATTGTGGTCGTTACTTTTGGAACAGTTTCCCCAGAACAGCCCCTTCTTCGGAAAGGCCAGACACCCTTACCCGTAAGAGAAAAAATAATATTTATGGAACTGAAAATTTTCTTTTGTTTTTTAAATTCTGTAGTAATCCAAAAGTATTCAGATTAGATTATATTTTTTTGTCATCCAAAGGATTATGTTACTTGTAATGTAAAGACTGTATTTAAGACTGTGTGAAACAATTAAGACAGTAACACTACAGTCTCTTCTAATTAAATGTAAAAGAGAGGGCCAAACTGCAGAGTGATGCAAGCTTCAGGCCTCACATCATAAACAGTTGGGGCTGTTATACTGACACAAATTGCATCATTACAGCTATACCAGTTGTCTCAAACTATCGGCCCGGGCCATTTTTGGCCCTCCATCCCTTTCTCTCAGGCCCGTGGCATGATGTCAAAAATGTAATATAATCTGGCCAGCAAGATTATTATTTTTTCAAATGATTTTTTGTAGTTGTTTAATATCAATTTAAACTACATTTCATATTCAGTTAAAATAACAACACATTCTTATTTTAAAAAGATGCATTTTGTTTGATGCTAAATAATGACAAGTCAAAGGTACTGCCTCAGTATTTTCACACTATAGAGTTCTGTCAGTATCAGAGGTGTGTCTGATGAAGGCTTTGAAAAAATAAAGCAAAATAGTAAGTAATGCATTCATTATACATTTTTTCAATGGCTGAATATGGATGCAGCAGCCTGTTGCTCTTTCAGATTTGCTGAAACATCACTGAATGATTAGAATAGACTTTTACGGCCTAAGTCAGAACTGTGAAAACTGACTGGATCAGGACATTTAATGACAATGGCTGCACATTTAGATCCTGCAGCTAAAATAGCCTACAGTCACTGGAAAAGGAAGTGTGGTTTTGGATTAAAAAGCAGTGGACAATGATCCACCCACCCGGATCGGCTAGACCAGCCCATCACGAAAGGTGCTGTGATCACTCCAGGAGGAGAGGATGAGAGCCGGGATAGAAGCCATGCAGGCACAGCTTGGATTTAAGGCTGCTCCTGGCTTATGCTGCATCTGGACCAAATGGGACTCAGGCAGGCCAAACAACAGGAAATCAGAGACTTTAGTGTCTACATCTTAACAGGGACCTGCTACATCAACATTTAGGATCCTCAATGGGCAGACAGTGTTCTGAGTTGACAAAGTGCAGGATGACAGGAGGCAGATGCTGTGTTTACATGGATGGTGCTTGGTTCTAACGCAGTCAAAGACGAAACCATTTTATCGTCACTATCATTTTCATTCCTTGTGTGCATGAATGTGTGCATTACCTCCAAATTCTTTTTTCCAGTTGCAAGGTACTTTACATCTCATCTTCTTCTTCTGCTGGTCACATGACCCATCTCTATACCCTGCTCCACAGTCCCCGTTGCTAGGGACACAGTTGCCATAGCGCCAGTCAGTGCATTCTGACCCGGACTGGGAGGGTTTGTTTTTCTCTGAGGGTAGAATAAAGATTTGTTAACTTATTATTTTGTCTTACTCAATGACAGTGCTACTTGTGGCCAGCCTGAGCTGCCCTGTATAACCAGTCTGCTGGTCACTGGGATCTTTCCTGTATGAACAAAGCAAAGGTAAGCAATTAGGCGTTCAGTTCCATGCACCTGAGCAGCACTTACTCATGGCCCTAAGTCCATATAAGTCATCATTTATTTTATTTGTCATTACACTTCTATTGGCTGGTGTTTTAACAGTGTAAGGAAATGGATGCATCAACCTCCACTGTGCACATGTCCCTTAAATAATTAGAAATAACTGACCTTTCCTGAAGCCTATCAGTCTTGTGTGCTGCAATAACAGTTGAGCAAGCCTCGGTCAACTTTCTCCTTTCCTGAATCATACACAGCAATGTGCTAGGCTCGTCTATGTTGAAAAGAAATTCAGATTTTGAAGGTGGTTAAAAGATAAAAGTGAGATATATAATCACATTGTAAATTACCTTATGTTGGAAGCCAGTTAGCTAACTTTTTACTAACATTAACTTTCAGTTGTAACTAACGTTAGCTAGCTAATGATTTGTGGGCCTTATCTAGCTAGATAGTTAAGGATTGATGTATATTACATTGCTAGTTAGCTGTTGCTTTTATCTTTCAACCATCTTCAAACTTGTTGTCATAGACGAGCCTAGCATATAGCACATCTAAATACAGGACGCACTATTTTTTTTATCCAGGATGGCGATCTCATGAACCACCCTACTCTGTCTCAGATTGGCTTATTATATTCTTATCGTAACCCTTATCATTTTATGTAATTTATTTAATATTATTGTCTCATCCAGATTGACCATGTATCCTCCGTGTGTCCACCATCTATCTGATTTCTTGTGAATGGAGCTGGAGTCTTGCTCAGCTGTTATTGGAGAACAGAGTGGGGCGACACTTAGGAACGGCCAATTGCATAAGACAAAAACTACGTTCCATACATCTTGAAAGAATAAATGATAGAATGTTATAACAATGGACCTGTAAGTGCAGTACCGATATAATAATAATGAATCAAAGCCTACAGCTCCATTGTGTACAGCAGTAAACCCCATACTTATCTAACAATACTGCAGTGAAATTAAATCAATTTGTTTCCTTAGAAGGCAAAAATAAAGAAAATTACATTTATTCAAAATCAGGATATTGACTATTAGTTACTATTATTACTATCTGTGTAAATAAGTTAAATGAGATTTGGGCTTCAACAATTAATATTACAATACATATACAAAAACGTATATTCTATATTAAGAAGAAAAATATAGAACAAGAGAAGGTAAGACAGGGAGAGAGAAAGAGAGAGTCTTACCATTTTTGTTTTTGCCTCCAGCTACAGTTTTAATAGTGATTAGAGTGACTAACAGCAGCAGCAACAGCACAGCCCTCATCCTGTACAAACACACAGCAGTGGGAAAAATCAACATTTAAAAAGGTTCATACATCACAACTGTTAAACCATTAATAGTTGACCCTCACCCCAGAGTTATTTCATGTGAAATCATTATCCTCTCCTCTCACCACCACTACCACCACCACCACCACCACAGCTCATAACAACCCGACAGGGGACTTCTTAACACTGGCTGTCTTGATACAAAAAACACAAGCGGTAACACTTTACAATTAGAGACACAACATTTTGAGTAGTTACCAGGCAACAAATGAGGAACAAATCAGGAACTTCCTGCTATTGAAAATGTGTTAATGAGTAATCAAAGTTTATAGAGCAGCTAATGATTAATTAATACTTGACTGAGAAACAAGTGAGTAACAAATCAAGAATAACCTGATAATTAATGTAGTCATTATTAATAAGTACTCTAAAGTTCTAAACGATACAATAGATACTAGAAAGGGACATCAAATTTCTTAATTAGTTGTTTCAGTTTAGTTTACGAAGTAATCGTAAAATAGTGATGAAGTAATGAGGGACTACTTAAAAACTACTTAATTGTTTAAGCAATTAAGTAATTACAATGAATGAGTCAGTTTTGTGGTGTTCACTGGCTGGTTCAAAGTTAAACAGAAACGACTCATTAAGAAAAGGGTAACAATGATCGATTCGCAGGTATTCATGAACTAATCATTACTTAATTATTCATTACTATTAGAGTAGTATTTATTAACAATTCATCAATTATCAAGTTGTTCCTGATCCGTTCCTCACTTGGTTGTTAATTAACTAATCATTAACAAATCAGCATACGCTATCAAATTTGATTAGGAGTTACTCATTAGCTAATGGTTTACTAACAGGTAGTTCCTCATTTGTCCATTTGTTTTTCTCATCCTCAACATTTGATGTCCCTTATTGTAAGAGATAATATAAGGTTTACATTACATACACCCATCAAAGTTATGTTCATATACAGGATTAAATTTCTGAGGTGCTGGGTAGCTGAACAATAATGTGAATGATGTTCATTTTACTCTAAATAGTAAAATAACAAAAATTTGAGTAACACAAATAAGTCTTTTTCTACATTTTTCACATTTTTCGCAAACATTTAGCATATTCAGCATTTACAGTTAGTTATCAAATAACGTAGAATGTCTTCTGTGATGATACATTTTTCTGTGTTGAAAATCCTTGTTGTTGTTTGTTGTTAGCCGTCCACTGGCCATGATGCCTTGGGTTGAGTCAGTCAACCAATGAGAGGCTATGAGGGTATGTGTGTGGCAGCTTTGATCTCAATTGCATTGCAAAATGGAATAACACAAGATTTACCCCATTCCCTTATCAACATCTATAGAGTACTATTTTTGCACCAGATCCCTCGCCTCAAAATCAATGGGAATTTTTGAATGGGTTTTTGGTTAGATGCCTGAAATGAAGTATGGAAGGCAGTTGTTAACAAGTTAAACGCCAAAGACGAGACTTACCTGCTCACTAGTCCATCTTGACAGCCTCATGTTTATACTCTTGTAAACTATTCTAACTAAAACTTTCCAATTTGTAGATTTTAATCATTAGACTCAATTACAAGTTGGACGTTTAGTGGTGATGACATTGAAGTCATGCAACTGTTGTGTAGTTTATTTATAGCCTAAAGTTAGCTTTTTACTTCTCGAAATAGCATTTCAGTTAAAAATGAAAGTGGTGTTGATTAGTTGTTATTGTCAACCTTTGTACGCCATAGAGCTTATTTTCTGCAATAATCCACATATTGGCTTTTTGTCAAAAGCAACTGGATGATGCGAACTTCTGAGCAGACTTACAGAAATACATCTTTCCTGCAGTACTATATACTTGCTCAGCATCTTCCAAATTCAAATAGAATTCGAACCAACACTAATAATAATAATATCAAATTTTTATTATTTATCTATTTTTTACAGTTTCTCTCTTTTTAAGTCAGTAATACACAATGCAAGCAAAGCTGGTGAAGCATGGTGGAGTGGACGTTTCACACATCAACCAGGCTGCAATTATGCTCTGCAGCTCTAATAACTTGTCCAGGGACTGGAGTTAAAAAGCACCACAGTAGCATCCCATGAGGAAACCACTCAAAGCTTTTCCAGGATCAACCAAAGAAGCAGCAAAGGGGATAAAAACAATATGTGGCAATTAAATCAGAAGGGTTTTAAGAATGATGTTGCTGTTTATGATACCACGTGACAAATGTGATATGATGAGACAAAATTAAGTAGAGGATTTGACTTCTGAGTTTATGCATTTTTAAAAAAACTATTTTTCAAACTGCATTATTAAAATAAATGTTTATAAATGACAAAAAAGCCATAAGAAATAATAATGATTGGCCCCAACCTTCCCTTTGTCTGGCTTCTGTTTTTACTGCCTGAAACAACACGCTCCTATTAAACCTCAGAGTAAAGGTCAGAGGTCATCACCACTGTGTCAGTGTTGAGGAATGAGGCTTTTTTCAGGTTAGAGGTTAAAAACAGCCTGCTCAGGGTGCTTCACATAATTAAAAACTGACTGAACACCAGATGAACCATGTCTTCTAAGTCCCATTCACAAGACAAACTCATGTTTCCAAATCCATTTTAAGGTGTCTACTTTAAGTGTTACGACAAGAAAGGGGGCAGAGGTAGAAGGTATGAAAATATAGAGCATCGCAAATCAGATGATGATGCATTTAGATGTAGTTGTGTTTTGATGTTTTTTATTGTCATTTCTTTTCTTTGTATTTTGCAAATCAATGCTGTTTATTAGTATAGTATTTTTTCCTTTGGGGTCTGTTGGTGGCTTCCTGACCTCTTCTGTCACATCTTATATCATGTTTTTTTTCACTTAAAGATTCCATGTATAAGATTCTGAAGCATTTTATATATCATTTCCATGTATTAATCACTTTTTATGGCCAATATGTGAACAGGTTGTAATGTAACCTAAATAAAAAATTAAACCTGACTTTCTCATTTCCTCAAAAATTCAAGGGCAAACTACACTGATTTTGATTATATAAATAATAATTAATAATGATGATAATAATAATAATAAATGATTAAATGGTACAAAGCTGATTGCTTTCTACAATTCAAAACAATAAATGGACCTGTACTTGCATAGCGCCTTTCTAGTCTTCCGACCACTCAAAGCGCTTTTACACTACGTACAACGTTCACCCTTCCACACACATTCACACAGTAATGGCAACAGAAACTAACGCAGTCTACTCCGATCCTGTCCAGTGCTCCAACAAGACAGTTGAAAATGTCATCGGCTGTTGTGGTGTCCGTAATAGGCACCAACACAAGGAACTCTTCGGTGACGGTCAAAGTCTCGTCAACACCACGAATCTTACTCTAGATGGCATTACCTTGGCCTCTAGCACCACTGTCAAGAAAAACTAATCCATGCATTTGTTACTTCTAGGCTGGACTACTGCAACTCTTTATTATCAGGTTGCCCCAATAAGTCCATTAAAACGCTCCAATTAATTCAAAACGCTGCAGCACGAGTACTGACAGGAACAAGAAAAAGAGATCACATCTCTCCTGTACTAGCTACTCTGCATTGGCTCCCTATAAAATGTAGAATTGAATTTAAAATCCTCCTCCTCACCTATAAAGCTCTTCATGGTCAGGCCCCTTCATATCTTAAAGGGCTCATAGTACCCTATTACCCCACTAGAACATTACGTTCTCTAAATGCAGGGCTACTTGTGGTTCCTATAGTCTCTAAAAGTAGAACAGGAGCCAGAGCCTTCAGTTACCAAGCTCCTCTCCTGTGGAACCAGCTTCCAGTTGTGGTTCGGGAGGCAGACACCCTCACCACATTCAAGAGTAGGCTTAAGACATTCCTCTTTGATAAAGCTTATAGTTAGGGCTGGATCAGGTGAGTCCTGAACCATCCCTTAGTTATGCTGCTATAGGCCTAGACTATCGGGGGATTTCCCATGGTGCACTGAGCTACTCTCTTCCTCTCTCTTTCTGCACTCATTCATGTCCCATTAATGCATGTTACTAACTCCACTTCTTCCCCGGAGTTCTTGTGCTTTCTCGTCTCGCAGGTTCTCATGGATCCTGGTGGAGCCTCCTGCCATGGTCCTGCTTGACTGCCATTGCCAATACTGTTGTTGCTGTGCACCTGTCTGTCTGTCTGTCTCTCGCTCTCTCTCTCTCTCTCTCTCTCTCTCTCTCTCTCTCTCTCTCTCTCTCTCTCTCTCTCACCCCAACTGGTCGAGACAGACGACCACCCACCTAGAGCCGGAGGATCTGTCCTAGGTTTCTGCCTTTTAACAGGCAGTTTTTCCTTGCCCTTGTCGCCAAGTGCTTGCTCATGGTGGTACTGTTGGGTCTCTGTTATTAATGTTAAAGAGTTCGGTCTAGACCTGCTCTATTTGAAAAGTGTCCTGAGATAACTTCTGTTATGAATTGGCGCTATACAAATAAAATTGAATTGAAATTGAATTGAATTAACTTACTAACTTACTTAAGTCAAGCTGTAGCATCTTAAATTCAGCTTAAGCCAAGATTACTGAATAAGAGCCTTTGACAGTATTGCAGGGTGGCGTGGTGTGGGTGTGTATCCGCTGTGAACGATAAAATCAGATTATCACTCTGATTCACTGTCTTTCTCATTACCACCGCTTGCTCTCCTGCTTCACTCTGAAGCTTGGTTTATGTTCACCATAGTGTCTCCCTGGTGCAAGAGTGCACAAGCCAAAAGTGACAGCATCACGTCTGCCGTGTCAAGCATGAAGGCCCCAAAAAACAGTGCTTGGTTGTTCTGGACACTCTATTTTTAAACTTTTTATGTGAAGATGAAACAATATTATCATCACTATCTTGCTGCTGCTGTTTACATTCCTCTGGGTGCAAATTCAAAGAATGCACTAAAGCACTTCTTCCTTGGGTGTATACACAGTTGCCCTCTGCTTGAGTCTAGATAGCATATTGGTATGATATACTGAGTGGTACAGAGTGGCCTTTACCGCAATAGCATTAACAACCATTAAGAGTTTAGTTGTGAGTCTTGGTATAAAATGAGCTGATCTACGTTGTTTTGATATTACTTATCACGCTGGCTGGCTTGACACAAATTGCAAGCTTCCCTTCAAATGTGCATGGGAAAAACAACAACAATGAGTGCATTCAGCTATGAAATAATCAACTTTCTAAACCTAAATTCCTCATCTCTGCACCACGTTTCATTAAATATACATAAGTATCCTTTCTCTGTGGGCCCTTTATAACAGTGTCCCTTGTGGCTCATAGTTAGCTGGTTTGCTGCAGCATTTGCTGAGGAAACATGCTACAGAATATGTACCATGTAAAAGGCCCACAAAATGTTTAGCACATTGTGATTAGTTCAACCAATTATATTGCATTTGAATATTTTTTATGTTTACAACTGTTTATATGTATAATTTTGCAAATCTGTAGGGCTGTAGGAAACCAATATTTTGTCAGGACTGAGACAAGCCTAACAGAAGCTTAATACAGTCCTGTCTGGAAAACATGCTGATAGCTAGTTATACTGTATCTATGTACACGTGTCATGCAGCCTCTTTTTATTGTGCGTGACATTTGATTGTGGAGTGTGATAGTAGACGGAACATGAATGCCAAAAGCATGAGAGCTAGCAGATTCCAGCTCTACAAACTACACTAAGGCAAAAATATATACTGTAAGGAAAAATTAATGGATGCTGCCCACATGTGCAGAAAGTAGAGCGAATAAAAGATGCCAACAGACAGAAAAAGTAGAAAACAGAAAGAGAGAGAGGTCTGTCACAAGCTCTTTATCCATAATACACAATGTCATGAAGCTGGTGACCGAGAAACACACTGTGAGCGCACTGTAGGGCAGTTTTTGCTTGTAAGTGTGTTTGTGCAACATAAAGAAAGCCAAGAGTATAGTGACCAATTCAAATTTTGCTTGTATCTTCTTTTAAGAGGATTCTATATGTGCTAATGCTTATTTTTATTTTGGTGGAGATCCTTCACTTTTCAAATACTTAATTGCAGAAATGAGTAGCATTTTTCCTAAAAAACAATGTAGACTTATACAAATTATCCTAATAGTCCTACTAGTTCTGCCTTTATATATTACATTTAACAACCATACCTGATATTAAATCAGACTTAATATCTGTGTTCAAGATATTAAACCAGACTGTGGTTTGATAGTGGGGCTAGGGGTGTAAGAAAATACTGATACAGTTGAGTATCATTATTATGTTTTGTTATACTGTATCAGTTCTCAAAAAAACTCACATCCAAAGATTTGTGGCAGTAGTTGTAATTAATTAACTACATTAAAAAAAAATGGCATACATTCTACAACAGAATGCAAACCTTTAAAGCAGGATATAAAGATATATACTGTCTGTTTATATACAATAAATACATATACTGTCTTTTGAGAATTTTTTGATTTTTTTCCAGTCTAAAATTGATCAAATTGAAATGATCATTATAATAATTATATAATATAATAATAATTTCCCCCAAACTTTGATTGTTGCTTATTTAAAATTAATTATTAATTATTAAAATGTTTAATGATGCAGAGAAATATGAGATTTAAAACTGCCTTTTTAGGACCTTTGATATCAATAATTTTGCCTATAGTACAAGAATAAAGAAATATAATAAGGGTATGTTTTTAAAGATGTGTAGTTTCTGTCTGTGTGTGGCTTCTGTGGTCACTGTCTGAATGAGAAATACTGGCACTACCAGAAAGAAAAATCCTGGTCAACAGACAGAACAACTCTAAACTCCCTCGAGTGACTTTCTCTTCTCTGCTCTGATTATCTCTGTCAGTGCTTGGAGGTCCATCTGCCATAAGACACAACAGAAAAAAACCCTAGTAAGATCAGTCCTGAAACCACTTTCTGACTTTGTTATGAACATGAAAGCAAGACAAAGAAAATATATCTTCAGGGTCATGATAGTATGAGAAGTTATTTCCGGTGGAATGAGTGTGTTTGAGAAAGGAAAGGAACAAATGCTTTCCTTCTTCGACTGTGACTGTGTGTATTGTGATGGACACAGATTTCTCCCTCATGACTGAGATTAATTTAGGATAAAGCCAGTGGCCATTTTGTATTATTTTACTGAAAATAAATTGTATAAATTATAGTCTTCAGATTTACTTTATACTCAAACTCTAGCAATTGTTGTTAAAGTCCCGATTTTTTCTATACTAGTTACTATAAAGTTAAGTGTAGTAGTAACTGTAATTTAATGAATGTAAACACAATGAGTCCCCTATTCAGTAATGAGACCATTATCACTGCGTATCAAAAAGTGAGTAAAACATTGTAAACACAATTACTGTGAGTCGTATCATTAAAACATGATACGTCCTGATCACATTTGACTCATCCATCTACTGTTGACATGGTGCTAGAAATAGACAATGCAGTAACAGAATTGTGCTTTGTATTTTATCAGCACTGCCTAGTCTGACAGTTTGATCAAAGTTTCGTGCAATGAACTGGGCAGACAGCCAAAAGCGTACTTCTACTTTACTCTAAACTGGACCATAATTTACCAAATGAACATAATAATTTATGGAAAAAGACTTGAAACCAGAGACTGAGACCATAAACTCAGACACATTTTGCTCCAATCCACCCAAATTTGAAGTTTAGATTCTCACCAAATTATTAGAAATTGTGGTTGTGGATAAGGGACAGAGAGCGGGTGAATGTGTGTTTGTCTTTGCATGTGTGTGTGTATTGCTGTTGACTCTGTAATTAGGGATTTTGAAAGGCGGCCGAGCAGAATTGACTTTTTATTGGTCCCTGTATGACCTACTAACTAGAGAGCCAGACAGGCCAGAGAAACAGAGGAAGGAGTGGAGACAATTCGAGAGACCATATACACACATCTCAGTGTCATCCATAAGTTAACAGCCTGTCTACAGAGAACATTTCATACATGTTTTTCAGTCATCTGTCTCACGTCTGAGGTCGCACAGCTGTGTTCAGTGACTGCTTCACTCAATTTATTTGTATACAGTGCAGTAGTAAAATGGATCGAATGTAGACACTGGCTGCAGCTGTTGCTGCCTCTACAGAGAAGGTGTAATGTAA